AATAACTCCTTGAATGTGTCGGTGCTGTTGTTTCTCCTTTCCTGTAGGCTTTTTGTAGTGACTCCTACAAGCTCAGTTGCTTTAAGTACGTCCATGTACTCAGCTTGAAGTTTACGTGCTAGTGGTAAGGTTATTCCAAGGACCTCAGCTAACACTACCACACTGACCAAAAACTCGGATGAGAGGATAGAGTGCATGAAAGCAAATGCATTGCTTCCCTTGCCTTGAGGAGAATTAGCAATTCTTTCTAGAGCAGCAGGGAGTGTAGGAAGGTGTTCCACAAAAGTCAGAACAGCATCGTGTCTTTCAATCCACCTTGTTTCACAGAGTTTTTTCAGACCATGAGTTCCTGGTTTCAGGTTGTGATTCTCCCTTACTTCGTTTTCCAAAATTTTAAATCTTGCTGGAGAATCACGGAAGAAAACTGCTACGGAAGATATAACTCCCATTGTATTCCTAATGCTAGCAATAGAGCAAGCTTTACTAATTGCCAGATTCAATCTGTGATTGGCACAGTGAGTGTACATTGCCAGAGGCTGGATCTGGGAAATTCGGGCTTGTACGCCTTTGAAAACCCCACTCATGTTGGACGACCCGTCAAAAGCTTGACCACGGCAGTTAGCTAAATCAACATTAAGTTTTTTCAGTTCTTGAACAATAGTGTTTGCTAGGTTCTCTCCAGTTAGATCAATAACATCAACGAACTTGATAAAATCTTCTTCAATGTTGCATTTCTTAGTGTCGAAATATCTAATGCAGATGGTTAGCTGTTCTTTAAGCGACAAATCTGTCGTTTCGTCTGCCATAATAGTAAAAAACTTTGATTCTTTTATTTTAGATATGATCGTGTCAGTGATCACATCACCACAACATTCAATTATCTCATTCTGAGTTGTTTTGCTTATGTAACTAGCATTCTTTCCACAAAATTTTAAATGAGAGCCTAGAACCTTATCCCCTGCATCAACTCTGAATTGCAGTAGTGCCCGAAAATTACCTTCCCCGAAGCAGCTCTCAGTGTTTAGATCAATTATACCATCATCTCTGTGGCCACGAAGTGGTATATTTTGTGCCCCACATAAAATAACTGTCTTAATAATGGGAATCAGCTTTTTGCGGTTCTCTTCGATCGTTTTTCTTTCTGCTGTATTCATACAAGCTACTACATTGCTAATCTTTCCTTCATGAATCAAACAAAAGTTATGATATGCAACCACATTTCGGCTGTGGTATTCAGTATTTGCATGACTCTTCAGCAATTCGGTGGCCTTTTTATAAGAAGTCATTGGTTCAACAACCAACTTCCCCAATTTAACATCATTATTCCCACCTTCTCTACGACCAAACATAACACAGTACTTGCATAGACCACCATGTAATTGCTTGCTGTAAACTAGCCATTCATGTGTTTTTAACCAGCTTTGCTGAAAAGAGCGGTTTTTCTTGCCTTCAGAAACCATTGGGAATATGAAACTTTGACATGGCACCCAAGGGTTTTTTATCCATTGATATTTCTCTTCATCTGTTAGAAGTGATGGTGTGATATCTCCATTTTTAAGAAGACGACCAAAATCGCGAACAGATAAGTTAGAAGAGCTGACTCCTAATCCTGATGCAGAGCAATCTGTTCCTGATTCCTTATCCCCAAATACATGAGCTTCTTTAACAGGTATGTTACTGTTAGCTGTTATTTGATTTCCTGGTTGAGAATCTGCATGGTCCACCTGAAAATAATGAAAATACAATAAACATTACATGAACATTTAGCATACTCACAAGATCACAAGATTGGCATTTTTTTAATAAAAACTTAATATTCTCAGTTATTTGTAATCTGATCTTAGTAATCTTTTTTATTTGCTTAGAAAATACGCAAATCTTTGCTTAATGTCCTTAAGATATTAAGCTTCAACAACAACAAATGGTCGCCATTTTATAATAGTACAAATTAGAAAATAGAAACAGCTTTTAGTGCAAACTACAAACTTTTAAAATAAAAAAATAGTATATTTTTAACAGTAAGCCAATGCAATGAAGGCAGTGTTAACTAAAACTAAATGAATATGTTTATCGAACTTACCTTAGGTTTTTTAGAAAAGAAGGAGTCAAGGCCTAGTTGTCTTTTATTCCCTCCACTAGAACTCATTTTATACAACACAACACTGACATAAAACGAGTAACAACGAGAAAATCTTAGTTTTTATTGTTCTTTAGAGTTTTCAGTTACGGCACGTAGCAAACACGTTTATAAACACTGATCACAACACTGTCGCAGTGTCGTCTATCGTCACGATATATACTCAACAAACTCAACCAGGGATAGGATCTAGCGCATCGGTCCATCGGTGGGCGGAGCCATTTTAAATAAGTGGTCGCGCTGTACGACAATTCAAATCAGCTGACCGGGCATTTAAAAAAAATTACTCACTGCACTAAGAACTATTATTTCAAATTAATTTATTTCACAAATTTTGAATTTTCTTTTAAATTTTTGAACGTGTCTAAAAATTTAAAAAAACAATCTTCTTTTTGTTTTTAAATTTCCTAATTACCGAGAATTCCTCAGAAATCCAAATTACCGACTACCCATTTCCGGGAAATCAAAAGAAGCCGGGAAAATGGAGCTCTAACTGTAAGAGATAGTCGGTTAAATGAGAAAAAAATTGCGTAGGACTTCGTAAGTCTTAGGTTTTCACCCAAAGTGATCGAAAGTAGAACCGCAAGTCTATATTTGAACTCTTCGTGTAACTTTGCGTCGATTGATATATGATTTCACTAATTTTGAGTAATTTTTACTAAACTTTCGCTCATAATTGTTTAAATGCAAATAACTTAAAAACCGGAACTAAAGATTCAAGCTCGACTTCTCAATACGCCTCGAATGATATGTCACATGTATTATTTCTGCGACTATAATATAGCACTTCCGATTAGAACTTTTTAACCAAAAGTATACATTTGTTCTCATCTTGCTCCGGCACGTCGAATAATATATCGCTTATACTATTTCGGTGGCTTTTAAATGGTACTTCTTTTTATAACACTAAAACCGGAAGTCCGATGTCAAATTTCTAATCTTTATTACCATCCTTGGGTTATAATCAATTCTATGAGCAGATATTTTGACTGTAGAACAGAATATATTATTTTATTTTATGTAATAATATTATATTGTAATATAACCAATTAATTCATTTATGTTCCCGAAATAAATTATTTAAATCAGGTACAATATGTTTCATAAAAGAATTTTTGAACCTATTTTATCTAGTGTATTTTTATTTCGTCTGGGGGGGGGCACGTGCCCCCGTGCCCCCCTCTGGATCCGCCACTGCGTATACCCATACTGGCCTCAGTACTTGCTTGTAGATGGATAATTTATTATGAATTGACAATGTTGAATTTTTTTCCAATCGGCCAATACAATTTCTTATATCTAATATAAAGCTCCCCTCTTTTCTTTTTGACATGGACTTTCCAGCGCAGCTTCGCGTCTAGGGTGATGCCAAGTATTTTGCTGATGTTGCATAAGGAATTCGGGTATCATTTATTCTAACTGGAAAATTTTCTATTTATTTATTTGTAAAGTTAATGTGTGCAGATTTAGTCTCATTTAATTTTATTCGCCATTTTTTGGTCCAGTTATGTATTTTATTTACTGATAGTTGCAATTTATCAGTCGCTTCTTCACTAGTGTCTCCTATCGCTAGTATGGCTGTATCATCCGCGAAGGTGGCAATAGTATTTTGTTCTAGCTCTGGAATGTCACACGTATACAATAGGTACAGGACCGGACCTAAGACACTTCCTTGTGGCACGCCAGCTTTGATCTCCCTTAAGTCGGTGTACACTTCTTCTTGTTTTACTCTGAAATATCTATTCGCAATGGATGATTTCAAGATTTCTGAATACTGTTTAGGCATGAACGTTCTTAGTTTATAGTTTAAACCGTCATGCCAGACTTTATCAAACGCCTGTGCTACATCCAAGAAGATTGTAGAGCAGACTTTATTTTCTTCTAATGTTTTTTCTATTATATTCGTTATTCTGTGAACTTGATCTATAGTGGAATGTTGATTTCTGAAACCAAATTGATGATTTGGTATAAGATTTTTTCTTTCTATTATTGGTTTTAATCTTTTTAATGGAAGTTTTTCAAATAGTTTTGACATCACCGGAAGGAGGGATATTGGTCGATGGGATGTCACTTCATTAGGAGATTTACCTGGTTTGGCGATCATAATTACTTCGGCTACTTTCCAGAGTCTGGGAACATATCTCAATCTAAAAGCAGCATTTATTAGGTGTGTCAGCTTAACTATGGCTTTTCTTGGTAGATTTTTTAATAATTCTCCTGTTATGAGATCATATCCTGGAGCTTTCTTAGGATTTATATTCTCTTTTATCTCTTTTGATACTTCTCTAAGTGATGTCAATGTTATTCTTTCGTCAGTTTGGAATGGTTCTTCCCATCTCAGTTTTTCACTATTATTGTCGTTGGGTTTGAACGTGCTTTCTAAATGATCTGCAAATCGTTCTGCTTTCTGTTCGTTACTTCTAGCCCAGTTGCCGTTTTCCAACTTGATAGGAGGGGAATGAATAATTGGTCTCTTCAGTCTTTTTGTTGCCTTCCATAAAGAATAATCTGTGTTCTGGTCAGCTGTTAAATTACTTAAAAAATAATTAACTGTTGAACTTTTTATATTCTGTATCTCCCTTTTTAGTTTTTGTGTAGCATTATGTAGTTTTGTCTCGTGGAGCTCTGTATTGCAGCCATTTTTTTCTTAACTTCTTTTTTTCTACTATGAGTTCTCTGATTTCTTTTGGATAGTTGTTCCCTTTTGTTCTAGAAGTTATTGTGGAAGGTTTAATTAAACGGTTTAATTAAGTACTCATATTTGATTTTGTATTTTTAAATGCTTTGTCTTATTAAATTATTTTGACTCAGTGAAAATATTACTCTATCTACTTACCTAAAATTCTTTTTGTACATTAAAAAACTAGCAGGAAGACCAATAACAAAAGGCGTGGGAGCTAATAGCAGCTAAAATAAAAAAACAATATATTAGTAAATTTACGTATATTGGACTATTGTAAAAAGTTTTTTTTTTATTTTTCACTGTTAATCTCCAAACTTTCTCATAATTACATCATAAACCCTCTCTAGGTCAATAGTCCAGTCGTCACAGATTTGACTTCTAAAAATCATACGAACAAGCTGAATTTTAAATCGAAAATCGAAAACGAAAATATGTACGCCAAAGAAAAAATTATTACAAATAAAAAATGTAGCTGTGATAAATTTGAATAAAAATGTTTATTACTTCCTTTTGTGTAGACTAAACTGTTCTCTTAGAATCAACGCTTGAAGCAACCGTTAGTATCAGTTAGGCTAGTCCTTCACTTGCAATTTGTAGTCGTGTGATTGTTTAGATGCAACGAGTGACAACATTGTTTTAAATACAAGTTCCTTCTTGTTTACGTGCCATCTATATAACTTTTGACACTACAGCCCGAACGAGTTTAGTAAGCTGCATCCAAACCATTCTCTGAGGTTTCTCAGTCAGGACATTCTTCTTCTACCTATGCTGCGCTTTCCTTGAATCTTTCCTTTTATTATTGGTTTTAGGAATTCATATCTGCCACCACGTGTTATATGACCCAGATATTGTAGTTTTCTAATTTTGACGGAATCCAATATCTCCCTGCTGTTTCCCCAAAATACATAACACTATTGCAGAACTATTTCTACATACAGAAATGTTTATTTCATTAATGTTGACCCCTAAATAGTAATAATACTGAACTTGCTCTATCGTCTTATTATTTACGTGTAGATTGAAGTATTTAATATATTTCTTTTTTATATGACCATTAATTTTGTTTTCTTTATGTTTAGTGACAGACAAAATTCTTCACTCGCTGCGAAAATCTTATCTAAAATTCTTTGTAAATCTGTAATATTTTCTGCTATTAGTATTGTATCATTAGCATATCTAATTTTACGTATGGGTAGGCCTTTTTTGAATATTTCCTCTGATTATGGAGGCATATCTCGTAGTTAAAAAACCTCCACAATGGTTTGAGATGACCTCTGCGGAGCTGTTTCGGAGCAGTCAACAAAACCATGATAGCCTTGATGATGATGAAGAAGAAGAAGAAAAAGAAGAAGAAGACGAAAAATAATACATTAAACAGTAATGGCGACAAGAAACAGCCGTGTCTAGTACCTTTTTTGATTTTTATTCTATTAATTTTTAGATTATTTATTCTTACGACAGCTTCTTATTCATAATCGACACACGGGATATAACAATAATAAATAATAAATTATTTATTATTGTTATATCCCGTGTGTCGATGTTCTTTGTTCTCAGTAGTTTTATTAATAGGTTATGTTTCACTGTATCGAATGCCTTGCTATAAATAAGAAAGAAAACATAGATGTTCTGGTTTACATCTAAACATCTCTGTATTAGCACATTTACTGCATATATTGCTTCTCTGGTTCCTTGAGCATTTCTAAATCCGAACGAGTTTTTTCAATGTCTTGTTCTCACTTTTTATATATTCAAGATTTTCCAGGTTTTATTTCCAGCGTATTTAAGCAGTTCTACTGTTATACCATCTATTCCAGCTTTACCGCTTCTCATTTTTGTAATTGCTGATTCTACTTCTTCCGAAAGACTTCTGGTAGAGTATATATATATATTATATATATATATATATATATATATATATATATATAAATATATATATATATATATATATATATATATATATATATATATATATTATATATATATGTATATATATATATATAAATATATAAATAAATATATATATATATATATAAATAAATATATATATATATATATATATATATATACTTTCTTGTTTTTCTCATTTGTAAAAACGACGCGCCCATAATCTATCGGTACTGAGCAACGGATCCTTTGAACCTATTTTGTACCAGTGTCCTTAGATTAATTCTTCATAATCTATATCACGAAGTATGGTACAATCTGAATACCAGTAATTTCGAAATAAGCCTTAATATTGATAAAACTCATACTTACAATAATAATAACTAATAAAGTATTCTCACGTGAATTGGACTGGCAACTCTTTTACTTTCTTTTTTGTACCGGTTTCAGTACGCCTTGCTGGGTCTCTTTGCGGATATCATAAATTTTGCGAACGCTCATACCACACATTTTTAAAACTTTTTTCACGGTAATTCGTCAAGCTATCGCCATTTTTTAAGTTCAGATGATACTTCAATACATTTAACACCACACGTTTTACTTGCAGACAAATAGCCACACCCTGTTTGAAATTCACCAAAGATACTGACAACGGCTCCATGATGTGGGTACTTTAATCCACTTTCAAAATGAAATAGAATTGAGTTTTTATAGTTTTGCCAACAAGTTTTTAGTCTAGCGACCTCTTCCCAAATTGACGAAGAGATATGTTTGCTTGGTGTCAACAATGATTGACAAAGTTAAATGACAAAATTGATAATTATGGATAAACTATCTTTAATGAGTGTTTGATACATTTTATTTTTTTATTGTATTTGTCTTCATGTTATTGTTTAATTCGATAATGTAATTCTCTTATTTATACATCTATGATTAAATCATGCTTTAGTTATAACAATAACGATAGTCTTTTATATAAATATATTCAACTATTGTGTGCGCGTATACTCCAGTGCTATGATTCCTAAATACAGTCCTGATGCGCCGCTCGGGGCAAACCGGCAAAAAAAACGGCATTAAATGACAAAATTGATAATTATGGATAAACTATCTTTAATGAGTTTTTGATACATTTTATTTTTTTATAGTATTTGTCTTCATGTTATTGTTTAGTTCAGTGGTCGCCAACCTGTCGATAGCGAGCTACCGGTAGCTCGCGGAGGCAATTCTGGTAGCTCTCACAACGATTTTAATTTAAAAAATACAAACTGTAAAAATCAGAGAAGTTTCCAAAACTTCCACAAAAAAATCTAATTGTCATAATATTAACCATAAACAGCGGCAACGTTGCGGTGAGCGATCTGCCCCTGACGCCGTCAAGCTAGAATCGGCTATTTATAGAACCGACCAGCCGGACCAACGCGTTGTGTTCGAGAACAATCTGGATTGCTTTGAACGGGATAAATACGCACGGCGCGGCGACATTGCGCTTAGTTTAAAACTGAACGCGTAACCAACGTCCAGCGGTTGGGTTAGTAGAGAACAACAAAAATAATATTATGGCAAGCAGTTGTAAGAAGGTAAAGACATACCACTTTTATTCGAAATGGGAAGAACAATACTTTTTTACAGAAGTTAAAGATAAACATGTGTGTTTGTTATGTAATACTTCGGTCTCCGTTGCTAAAATAGAAAATATTGAGAGACATCATAAAACTGTACATTCTAATTTTGAAAAATCATTCCCACTACATTCTGCCGCCAGAAACGAGAAACTGAAACAGTTAAAAGAACAGTTAATTGGACAACAATCAATATTTTTAAAAATAGTCGGCACAAAAAAAGAAACCTTATGAACACGGGGAAATGATAAAACAGGCGTTTTTAGAAGCTGCTTATTCGTTATTTTCCAACTTTAGAAATAAAGACGAGATATTTTCAGCTATAAAATCTATGCAACTTTCTGCAAATACAGTGATAAAACATGCAGAAGTAATGAGCAATGATATTTTTTTACAGTTAAGAACTGACTTAGATAACTGTGTTTATTTTTCACTTCAACTGGATGAATCAACAGATGTCATTGACACTGCTCAGATGGCCGTGTTCGTCAGGATGGTTTTTAGTGATTTTACGATTAAAGAAGATCTTTTGAAGTTCATTCCACTGAAAGGACACACTACTGGACAGGAGTTGTTTTCTTATTTAATAAATATTATTTCTTCCGAGAAAATTACAATATCGAAAATGGTAGGCTTGACAACCGATGGGGCTCCAGCTATGGTGGGTTGTGATAAGGCTCTGGTGGCGGTATGTCGTAAAGATGAAACTTTTCCGCAATTTCTTTGTTACCACTGCATTATCCATCAGCAAGCATTATGTGGAAATTTCCTGAAACTAAACAACGTTATGAAACTGGTGGTATAAATTGTGAACAAGATTAGAGCTCAAGCGTTACAAAGAAGATTATTCAGAACCTTGGCCGATGAAATTGACTGTCAATACGGGGACCTACTCCTTCACTCTGAAGTCCGATGTTTAAGTAGAGGACGGGTGCTAAAACGTTTTAATGATGTCCTATCTGGCATAGTTTAATTTTTCAAACAAAGCGATGAACCGACTCCGGAACTAGAAAATTCAATCTGGATTAGAGATTTTGGTTTTCTCGTGGACATTACAAAGAAATTAAACGAACATAATTTGCAGCTTTAGGGGAGAGACAAAAAACTAGCGGAAATGATTTCTGATATAAAAGCATTTATGAAAAAGCCAAAGTTTTGGGAACAAAACCTAATTAACAGCGATTTCAAGCATTTTCCTATTCTTTCGGAAAAAATATCTCAAAATCCATTAGAACCCTCTGACAACAAATATCATGTAGAAATAATTTCTACCCTGAATAATAACTTCAAAAATCGTTTTAAGGATTTCAATGAAATGGCTTTAGTAGCGCAGTTTGTTGTTTCACTCTTTATGGAAATTGATATCCAGCAGTTTGCAGCTTGTGTTATGCAGAACTTTGGCGAAGACATCACTGCAACAGAAATGGAAGTCATTGAGTTTCAAAATGATGCAGTCTTAAAATCGTTAGTCTCAAGTACTGAATGTATCTGGCCTATTGTAAGTAAAGACAAATATTCAGTTCTATGCCGTGTTGCCTTGAAAGTGAAAGCATTATTCAGTTTAACCTATTTGTGTGAATCGTCTTTTTCCAATATGAAGTTTATTAAGAACAAATATCGCAATCCACTTATAGATGAACATTTGAATAATTGTATTTGAATGGATGTGTCAAATTATACTGCAAACATTAAAAACATTATCGATGAGTCTGAGT